GATCAAAGGTTATGGAGAGAAAGCAGGATTGGGCTATTGAGTTGGACGATCAGCCATGATCGTGATGAATGACAGAGCAGGCTCAAAAGGCCGAATGGCATCCTCCTGCTCCTATCTTCTGTATTTCTATGTTTGTAAGGTGGCTGAAGACCATTAGAGATCGGAGCAGAAGTAGACCATTCAGTCCATTGAGTCTCATTCAATGAGATTGTGGCCGATCTGATAATCCTCACCTTCATTTTCCTGCCTTATCCTTATGACCCATGATTAGAAATCTGTCCATCTAAGCCTTGAATACAATTAACAACCCAACCTCAACAGGCCTCTGTGGTAAAGCTGTTGATGGAAACATCTACAGATACAGGGCACATTTAACAATCTGAAATGTATTCTTTATTTATTATTGGGTCAGGGTGTCACTGCCTAGGCAGCATTTAGTGTCCATCCCTAATTGCCCAGAAGGCAGTTGAGAGTCAACCACATTGCTTTGGGTCTGGAGTCACATGTAGGCCAAAGCAGGTAAGGATGGCAGTTTCCTTCCCTAAAGGACATTAGTGAATCAAATGGGTTTACCCGCCAAGTAAGAATGGATTTACGGTCATTATGAGACTCTTAATTCCAGATTTTTCTTTATTGAATTCATCATCATAGAATCCCTACAGCAAAGAGATGGGCCATTTGGCCCATCGAGTCCATACTGACCCGCTGAAGTACATCCCACCCACTGAACCTACACATCTGTGGATACAACGGACAGTTTAGCATGGCCAATCCATCTAACCTGCAAATATTTGGATTGTGGGAGGAAACCGGAGCCAGAGGAAACCCACGCAGACACGGGAAGAATGTGCAAACTCTGCACAGACAGTCACCCAAGAGTGGAATCAGACCCGGGTCCCTGGCGCTGTGAGGTAGCAGTGCTGACCACCAAGCAATTCAAATTCCAACATCTGTGGGATTCGAACCAAGGTGTCTGGAACATTATCTGTGTCGCTAGATTAAGAGTCCAGTGAGAATACCACTGGGCCATCACCTCCCCAAATAGGTGCATTTGGACTGGGTGAGGTGTAAGAATGTTTAAAATCTCAAACTTGAACCAACCCACCTCACAGTCGCTCACTTCCAGCCTTAATGGAGGACAAGTGGGTGGCATAGTTGAGTTGTGGGTAACCAACCAGCTTGTGGGAGGCAGGCTGCTTATTTATTGACTGTAATGAGACTCTGTGCCTCTTTTCTTAACTTGTTTCCAGGTTAACACCTATTGCTTGGGATTCCTGCATGTGAGGTATTGTGGTGGACAACAGATGATGGCAACCATTACAGGGAAGTGATGATGCTGTTCCAATACTATCCGTGTATCAGGAAAGATTGTTTCATCCCTGACTTCCAGCAAAGCCTCATTCAGACACCCACGCTGATCACTGGTCCCGTCCCATCATCAGCTGAGCCAGCAACCCACAACTATCAACCCCTTTCAATGTTTCAATGCTCCTCTTGTGATTATGGACTTGTTGCCGCCCCACCCCCAGCATGTGAAATTCCCGCCTTGATAATCCAAACAGCACTGAACCAAGGAGGATTAAACAGAGAACAAGAAAGCGTGGTTAAAGATGAGAGAGAAGCAAAGAGGCTCAGGGAGAGATTTCTAGAGTTTAGGGTATAGATGGCTGAAAGCGCAGCTGTCAAAGGTAGGTTGACGCAATTTAGAGACAGAAGAACTGGAGAAAAACAGGAATTTCAGAGGATTGCTAAGCCAGAGGAAGTTACGGAGACATAGAGGAGTGAGGACAAGGTGTAACCTGAACACAAAAACTAAAATTTTTAAATTGAATTGTTCCAGTGTAGAGGAGTGAGTGTAGATGTCATCGGAAAATGGGAGATGGTAAGAGTTGGGATCTTTGCTCCTTTCAGGTACTCAGTCAAATTCTACATGTCTGATCTGCTGTATCTCTCTACTAGCTCTCTCAATCTTTCCACTTGAACCACTCTAATTCATTCCCAATAAGCTGTAGTTTTGTTCTGTTAAGCTTTGTGTAAACTAATGCCTTTGATTCAGTCACTTTCATAACCATTGTCTTGGGCTAAAGCAGACGTGCTGTCCAATCCCTTCACAAGCTGAACTTTCAGTTCCACATTGTCTCCATTGCAAAGACTGTCTATCCTCCATTTCAATAACATTGCCCACCTCTGCCTCTACCTCAGCCATGTGCTGCCAAAAACATCATTAAAATGACTAGTTGACATTCTTTACAGTCTGTGAACTTGATAAAATTCTGTCAATATTGGCTCTGACATTAATACCAATGCATGTACCAGCTCAGTCCCTTCTGGCACATATTGGCTCTTGATCAATCTTTCTTCATCTCCCTCAAGCCTGAGAATTACAGTAATTCTTGTTATCTGACAGATGGTAGTACATAAAGTTTTGCAACAAGTCAATATGACAAAAAAAACCAAGGTAATCTGTTCTTCCCTGGATGTTGTTGGAAGAGAAATGCGAGCCAGGAGTCCATTTTGATGTTGTTACCTCCAGCTAAATTCATTTACAGCTCTGTAGCTTAATGCTGCACTAAAGCAGAGTCATTGCTGGTGATTGTCCCTCATTTCCAGGATGATGTCTACCCAGGGTCACAGGTTTCTGCTGTGGGTCTTCATATGATTGAACAGAGCTGATTCTTGACTCAGATATTTGGCATATGATGCAGGATGTCCTCTGAGGTTATGGGATCCAGACAGCAGGATTTAATTGCTTTTCTTTAAATCACACCTGCCACTCTGCCTGATTGTTAAGGCATTTGGACTCAAAGCTGGATGAAGCTTAAGGCCAAGTTGTTTCCATCTTTGGGCGACTGGCACCCTCCCAGTCATTCATATCAATGCAGCCATGCTGCAAGTGTTTGACAGCATTTTCTTTGTCCTCCTCTGGGAACAGTGGTCATTTGAGAGCTGAGAAAACAGAACTGGCAGGGGTGATGTTTTTCAGTTTTCTGCACATGGAGCCCAATCCTTTGCACTTAGTTTTGGAGGAGATTTTGCTGAATGCTTGTTCAATCGTGCTTCCACTGAATCTGGTGGCATTGCTGGTGGAATTTCTCTAGTACACCTACATGTCTCTGATACACAATCCACATCTCACTGTCATACAGGAGTGTGGTGACAATAACTATTCTGTACACAATGCCCAAGGTGTACTGCAGAAATTCACCAAAGATCCCCAGAGAGCACCGTCCAAACCCACGGCCACTTCCACCTAGAAGGACAAGGGCAGCAGATATAAGGGAACACCACTACCTTCAGGTTCCCCTCCAAGCCACTCATCATCCTGACTTGGAAATATATCGCCGTTCCTTCACTGTCACTGGGTCAAAATCCTGGAATTCCATTCCCAATAGCATTGTCGGTCAACCCACATCACATGGGCTGCAACGGTTCAAGAAGGCAGCTCACCACCACCACCTTCTCAAGGGCAACTAGGGATGGGCAAGATTTGCTGGCTAGCCAGAGATGCCCACATCCCACAAATGAATAAAAAAAACTCTGCAAATCAACAGATGTCCAACACTAGCTACTGTAGTTTGCAGATGGTGAGGTAGCAGAGCTCCAGTGTTGGATCCCCTTGTCAATAGTGGCCTTTTGAGGGAGATGGCTGTGAAGGTATGGGAAATGCTCAGAGTTTCTCATTCATCGTATATGAAATATATGGAATATTTCCTTGACTGACCAGTTCTGAGTTGATATGAATTTTGTTTTGAAAACAGTCAAAGACAGGCTGAGTCTCCTGTATAAGAATTGAAGAGATTTAAAGTGGTGCAGAATGGGCAATGATACAGTAGCAATTCACAAACTGGAAATCATATGTGCACACGGCAGTCAATTTCATTTTGACATGGAGGCAACTGATGTTCAAAAGGTTTCCATCTAGCTGGTACTCACACCAGAGGGCAGTATATCTTCGATGAGGTGAATGTCCACTGTCAGGTAGATTGTAAGTCATATGGGGTCTATTACACAGCCTTGCTTGACTCCATTCCAGATTTTGAAAGTGTCTGTTTCTGATCTCCCATTCAAGGCAGTGGAGGTCATATCAACATGAAACAGTTGCAGGATTGTGGTGAAGTTCCCAACTTTCTGGAGTAAAATTCACAGAGCTTCACAATTTACTGAATCAAAATGTATTGGTCAGGCCAATGAATGCAACAAAAAGTTTCCAATAATGTCCTTGACAACATAGACCATGTCAGAGATTTCTCTCCATGTTCAAAAGCCACAATGTGTCTCTGGGAGGACTTCCTCAGCCACCTGAAGTAACTGATCCAGAAGAATGCAGTTCAGGATTTTCCCTGATGTGGGCAACAGGATAATGCCTCAATTGTTTTGTCAGCATAATATATCTCCATTGTTAAAGATAGTTACAATTGTCAGGTCCTGAAAGTAAAGGGAAATCTGCATTAAATGGTCAAATCCTGTCAATGCCTTTAGTATTCAATAAGATTCTTTCAAGCTAATAGTGCTGTCAATGTTGCCATGCAAATCTGATTGTTGGATACATTTGGCAATTTAAAAAAAAACAGACTCAAACTGGCTCAAGAATTTATAAAACATACTGTACAGTATGTCCTGTCTAGTAATATATCGAATCATTTACACATTTTTGCAAATCACATGTAATAGTTGAGTACAATGGGTGTGGCGTTTTACTGTGCTGCTTATTGCTCAATTATTCTTGGCACAGTGCTTATTGCTGTTCAGGGAAATCCTAGGTAATTTGCCGAGTTTCCTCCACCACATTGGATGGCTGGGCAGTTAGTGAACCAGGGATAGTGCTCTGTCCTCTCGCACTTTCAGCCCTGCTCTGGGGTCGAGAGCAGTGGCAGTTTTAGCTAATTGCTGGACTTTGACACCTCTGCTTTCATTTTCAGCTGTCGGTATTATTCACATTCGAAACGTGCATGCGTCTTTGCATTCTCATCTGCCAGTTTGCTTAACTCCTCGTCACCAAGGCATCCTCATTCCTACCAAACTTTACCAGAGAAGATGATGGAGCTGGTAAGAATGTTGAGTTTAACTAGATGTATTGCAGGATGAGCTAAATCATTTTGAAGGATAAAGGGATATATGCCAGCAATCGGGCTTATTGGTCAAACAGCATGTGGCTGAATTTTCTTGCGTCTTTAGGACACTAGTGAGGAATACAGTACTTCTTCCGGCTGTTTCACGACATCTAGTTTGTTGAATAAAAACAGAAAATGCTTTAAACGTTTGCTCTGTTTTTGTTTCCATGGATGCTGACAGAGCTACTGAGTTTCACCAGCACTTTCTGTTTTTATTTCAGATTTCCAGCATCTGTTCTACTTTGTATTTACGTGGATTATTGAATTGTTTAAGGCGGGGGACATCTTTGGTTAGGGTGACTGTCTTTTTCCTGCCCTCAGTGTCCAGGAATGGGTGGGCTCCGTCTACTCGGTGACAATATAGAGTAGGTGAGAGTCAAATAGTCACTTGGTGGTGAAGAGTGTGAGTATTGCTGGAAAAAAACGCACATTTTGCGGAAGTTCTACACATGAATCCGCAAATAACCGTAGACTGTCACATACAGGTAAATCAACTTATGGTTCACAGAGAGGAGCCTGGAAACAACTGCACAAAGCTTTCGGCAGCTATTTCGTGCCACACACTTTACTCTTTTATAAGTGACAGTTAGTCCAGCATTGCACTTTTAGCGTCCGGCATGGAATATTCCTTCTGTGCGGCTGCACTCTGAACAGCAACGCAATGGCAGCTTGCCCCTATTTAGGGTATTTATTTTGGGTAGCCAGTACTAGACTTAGCAATTGAGAGTAACAACAGTGCCAATTCTGTGACAGCACAGTGGCTCAATGGTTAGCTCTGCTGCTTCTCAGTGCCAGGGACCTGTGTTCAATCCCACCCTTGGGTGGCTCTCTGTGTGGAGCTTGCACACTCTTCCCCCTGTGTCTGTGTGGATTTCCTGCCATAGTCCAACAACATGGAGGTTGTGTGGATTACTCACAGGAAATACAGGGACAGAGTAAAGTCTGGTTTGGATGCTCTTCAGAGAGGTGATGTGGACTTGATGGGCTGAATGGCCTGTTTCCACACTGTAGTGGTTTCTATGAATTCTAGGGCCATTAGTGAATACCATGTGTGTTAAAGGTCATTGGTGAGAGGTGACACATGTCCTGTATGTGTAGAAAATGCCTTTGATTTCTGCAACTGCAGGGAATGTCAAATTCCAATGTTTAATTTTCTTTATATGCAAAGACTGTACAGAACCACTTTAGTACCTGTGTATGTACAGAAAGAGAATTTTTGATGAATAAAGTACATTTTTGGAATGAAAGGAGGCCTGGTGGAGTTTTTAAAATGAGTTCCGAAGAGGCATATTGGGGCTTGAAACGTTACCTCTGTTTTTCTCTCTCCGGAATTACTGGGTTTTTCCCGTGTTACTTGTTTATACTCCCCATTCCCCAGCACCCACGGTATTTTTTGTTTTTAACAAGACAATGAGGGGATTGGTGACGGTCAGAGCCGGAGCTCTAAAATGAGCCTTGACCCTGCCCTCTGGTTATGGGCTTGGTTAGAGACTTGGAGCTCTGTGCTGCAGCGAATGATTAGTCTGCAAAGTTCAAAGGTCAGAAATCACATGACAAGATAACACAGTGTGGAGCTGGAGAAACACAGCAGGCCAGGTAGCATCAGAGGAGTAGGAAAGTTCGGGATCCAAAACATCAACTTTCCTGCTCCTCTGATGCTGCCTGGCCTGCTGTGTTCCTCCAGCTCCACACTGTGTTATATCTCAGACTCCAGCATCAGCAGTCCTTACTATCTCAGAGAAATCACTTGACACCAAGTTATAGTCAGAATGCAATTTTGAGGAGCAACACCTTTTGTTCTGCCTGCAAACCCTACAGCCTGGAGGACTCAACATTGAGTTGTCAAATTTCAAATAACATTCACGCCCATTCCCTGGCTCCCCTTCCAGCCCCATCTCCTCCTTTCCATTCCACCTACTGACCCTCCCTTCCAGCTACAAACCGGATTCATCCCTCCCATCAACCAACCAGGTCATACCTACCACCAGGGGCCACCTATCACCACCATTCCACTATCCCCCACCCTCCCCCTCATTATCTGCAACTTCCCCTACCCCTATATCCAGTCCTGAAGAAGGGTAACACCCAAAACATTGACTTCTCCTTTCCTCCAGATACTGCTTGGCTTGCTGTGTTTTTCCAGCCACCTGTTTGTCTGCCTTGGACTCCAGCATCTGCAGTTTTCTTTTGTCTCTAACCAAAGTTATAGTCCAACAGGCTTTTCTGAAAGCACAAGCTTTTGGAACGTAGCCCCTTTGTCAGGTGAAGTGAGAGAGAAGCAGACAGAAAACAGAATTTATAAGTAAAAAGATCAAAAGGCCACACAACTGATGAGGATGTATTAAACAAACCTAAGATGCTGTTAAATGTTTAATCAGTTATAATGTTAGTAAATCCCCGAATTTCTTTCAGGTCACTGTCCTGAGAGAACTAAAGGTTTTATCAGTGTAAGGAAGAGGTGACATTTTAGGCCAAACAATGCATGTTAGGTGTGAGGCTTTGTTTAAAATCTGTTTGTGTTTTGGTTTGGAGTCAGACTGGTTTTATTTCTAAAGTAGAAATTTCTAAAATGCCACATTGACTGACGTCAATAAATTGTATGCTTTTTGAACAAAATACAATGTATTTGCAAATACAAATTCACCCCATAGATTCACGTGTGTATGAGAGAGAAAGAGGGAGAATGAGTGTGTGTGTGAGACAACAAGGTGCAGGGCTGGATGAACACAGCAGGCCAAGCAGCATCATAGGAGCAGAGAGGCTGACGTTGTGTGTGAATCTGTGTGTGAGCAATAGTGTGTGTGTATATGTGTGTGGGAGAGAGAGACGGAGGGAAAGAGTGAGTGTGTGTGTTGTCTGTGTGTGTGTGTGTTTGTGTGTGTGTGTGTGAAAATCTGTGTGTGAGTGAGAAGGGGGAGAGAGAGTGTGTGTGTATGTGGGGGGGAAGAGAAAGTCTGTGTGTGTGTGCATGTGTTGAGGGCGGGAAGAGAGAGAGTCTGTGTGTGTGTTTGTGTGTGGGAGAGAGAATGTTTGCATGTGTGAGGGAGAGAGACAGTGTGTGTTTGTGTGCGTGTGTGAGAGGGAGTGTGTGTGTGTGTGTGAAAGGAAGGGCAAGAGTGTGAGTGCGTGTATGAGTGTGTGTGTGTGTGTGTGTG